AGGAGGAGGAAGAGGAGGAAGAGGAGGAACAAGAAACTGGAAAAATGCCTTTGTCTTTGTCAGCTCTGCAAATTCCATTCCCTAGAAATTGTTCTTTACTTGAACTCTTAGAATTCCTCTACTTAAATGCAGATTAATAGCCAAATAATCAAGGGAAAATCTCTGGAAATTTATGGGACTCACTTTTTTTTTCTTTCTCCTGAACAGATCCATCTTCTCCCTTACCTGTACTGCAATTTGTAGCTGCCTTGGCCTCCCAAACTAGGATTCTGTCTTCTTAAAGTAGCAAGATGACCAAACTCTGTTTCTCTAGTTGGACAATTAGGAAATTTCCCCCAGGCAAAATGCTTGAGTGATTTTAGGGTTTACTTTGTTTATCTCCCTTCGCTTCTCTGGCACCAGGGTCATGTACTCCCTTCCTCTCTTCCAATGCCTGAACACAGACAGTTGTTTCATGTTTCATCAATTTTTTTTATTGTTTAGTATAGAAGGCTAAGTATGAGCCCTGTTATCCCTCATTTTAGGAGAAGTCATTCCCTAACATATTAGAAATTACTGAATATTTCCATATGTAGAGTCAGAATTGAACTGTAAATATTTCCATGCTTTAAAATGATAGAAACTCTAGACTTCATGAGAATAAAATTATTTTTCTACAGATGAAGTTGAAATTTATACCACTGTTTTATAATTACATAAAAATACCAAATAACAGAACATTTTGAACAAATGTAAAACATTTTTCTTTTCTTACTTTACTTTTAAATAATTTTGAAACTAAAATGAAATCAAGTCTTTTTTGAAAAAATTCATAACTATCCTCAAAATAGAACATTTACATTCCCAATCATCATTTGTTTTCTAACTGATATGAGAAAAATTCAATTAATAAATGAATGTTTCTTTCTTATTTTAATTAGAATAAGTGGTATCGTAAGAGACAATACAAAATATTGTATGTTACTTCACCTACCTTTAATTTTTCTTTTCCTATTAAGTTAGTACCACTAATTAGGCAAACTCAAAAGATGATAATGCTAAGCAATTTATTAACTTCAGTTTTCCTGTCCTTTTAGTGTATCCCAGCTCATTAGTCCTCCAATCAAAGTACTGAGATAAAAGAGGCAATATTTTACCAGAAAATATTGTTAGAATATCCTTAGTTATTTTTCATTTTGATGAACTTGTTGCAACGTTTCCATTATTGCAAAATATATGGAACAATAATGTTCCTTAGACTGATCTCATATAGTACAAGTTTCATAAATTACATCATTGAAGTCATGTAATATTAGGGTTAATTTTGACATAGTCATACATGCATGAAATTTCATTTGCTCCATTCCAGTCACCAGTGCTTCCTCTTTCTCTCCTCTATCCCTCCTTCTAGTCTCCTTCCTCTACTCTCCTGGTCTTTCTTCTATTTCTTTTGTTTTAAAAAATGGCTGCTTCTTAGATAGACAAAAAGGTGGAATTCACTGTGGTAGATTTGTAACATGTACATGGTGTTGTGTTTGGCTGGTTGAAGGTAAGAAGAAGAAATGATCAACTTCCCAACCCAGTCTCCCAACCCCAAACCCTTTTCTTGGACAAAATAATCTGAAGACACATTTAAAGGAAAAAGAAAACAGGAAAAAAAAAGAGAGAAAGGAGAGAGAGGGGAAAGAACGGATCAGAGGCCAGTGAAAGCAACCTGTAGGGTCCTTTCTCTTGCTTCCCTGCCATTTTCTTTTATCTCTACTAAACCCTGTCTCCTTCACAAATATTGTTTCCTTAAGTCTGGATTCTGTGCCGTCTGTGTTTTAAAAGTGGATCACTATTTATGATTTTTTTGTGAACTACTGAGCAACTAAGGCTTGGAAATTGAAATTTGCATTTGTCGGATACATGCCAGTTCACATAATGAAGGATAACTTAGCAACATGTGGCCTTAGGATGATAAGAGCTTTGGAATGGCTCCAAGCCCAGTTTTGGCAGATTCTAGTTGAGAGAGATCAGGAGCAAGAGACTTAACCCCTCTCAGTTTCAGATCCATCATCTGTAAAATAAGGGTGGTAATGCCTGCTTCATGAAAGTTGTCTCAAGGAGTAACTGAAATGATGTAGCTAAAGCATCGGTTGCAGTGGAACAAGAACATGCTTGGTTGATGTTGGTCCTGATCTCCCTCCCTTTGCCTTCCCACCCTTTTTTGTTCTTCACCATAACAAGCAAAAGAGCATCAGACTCTGTATATGAGACCCGTCACTCCAGACCCTTGTTATTTGCTTGCATGACATTGTCTATAAATTAAGTGCTTCCTCAGACTCTCTTGGCCTCCCTTGTCCCCTGTGCCCTTGGCCACCAGCTTCACTTCTGTGAATACCAGCTCAGCCTCTAATACTATTGTTTCTTCTTCAGACACCTTCAGTTGTCTTTCTCTCTCTGAAAGTACGTGCCAGATCCCAGAACTTCCTCCACTGGACTCACCTTCACAGAAACCCTAGCTCTTTTCCTTCTCACTACCTCCAGAACCAGAAGAGGAAGCCAAGTAAGAAGACATGGATTTTGGCTTCCTCAGTCATTACTTGAGGGGTCAGGTGATGCAACTCCATGTGAGCATAAACTTTGACCAAAGGAAGCAGAAAATAGATACATTCATTCTTTTCCCCTCTTTTCTCCAGTAGTGTGAATAGTCTGCCCTGAGATCTCTGCAAGGCTCAGTCAGTAGTCATGCCAATGAGGCATGGTCCTTCTCAATAAGGTATTTTTTTTTTTTGGTTATTGCTTATTTGCTTATTTTTGTTTTTTTCCTCATTCCTTCTTGTCTTACTTCCCTTTCACTCTCACTCTTGTTTTTCTGAGATTGAATCTCCAAATAATTCATTGCATACTTTTTAGTGTTCAAGGGAACCTGCGCTGAGATACTTGTGAATACATTTTCCAGGATCTCTTATCAACTGTCTTCTAAATAGGTTTGGTAAAATAGAATGGACTGATGGGAAACTGAAGAGAGAAAACAGAATTGTCTTCCACCTCAAGGAGCAGCTCAGGTAGAGGCTGTGCATTCTTCCTCTGTCCTGAGAGTGGAATGAATTTTCGCTGTTGCTCATCTCTGAGTTGATCTCAGAGTGCCTTTGAGAGTCTCCTTTTAAAAAGCTTTTGTAACCAGTTTCCTATATTAAGTTCCCTCTATTGAATCACATGTCATGGACGCTTCCTGAAAAGATCCTAATACAATACATAACAGTAAAGAATATGATTGAATTTGCCTGTGTTTGTGGTATTACTGAAATAATTCTTTTCCTCCATAAGATATTATATTTATAAGAGATATATTTCTAAATATAAGTAACAGAAGAAAACTGGGCTTTTAACTACTTCTAAGGAGATTATCATAAGAAAGTTCTATACGTTGTCAGAAAAGACATCCAATTATTATTTTAGCATTTTAAATGGCATTGGATATTAAACCTGAGTAGCCTTTTCCTAAAGACTTTATTTCCCACTTGATATAAATGCATGTTTGACAGTCACCTTGAAGCTGCCTCTCTCCTGGCTACTGAGATTTAGCTTTCTGCATCCTGGGCCTGGTAGGGGGCAAATTAGTGGTATTAGAATGTAAGTGCCATTATTTGGTAAATGGGATTCAGATTTCATTTGTTTCTTTACCTCCCAAGGTGTTTATGGGAAACAAACACCACCACACCCCTCTCCTGGTGCTACTAAGAACTGGCATATTTTCCTCCTGCAGGGCACACAATATTTCTAAAATTGGCCCCCAAGAGATTTGCACTTATTGTGAGTGCTCTGTAATAGCTCGGCAATGATTTCTGGGATCTCCTTCGATGATACTGAATGGGTATAACACAAACTTACTGCCAGAAATACTTCAGTATTTAGGCAGAAAGATGTCGGCAGACAGCCTTGCCTCTGAATTTGAGAAGGAAAGAGGCCTCTCTTCTGGAATGCACAAGTGGGAATTCACATGGTATGTGACACCCAGGCATGGCTTGCCAGCACTCAGAGCAACAGGAGAGAATTATGACAGGGAGCTGGAGCACAGGGAACCCTTGAAACAATTATTTTTTCTGCCGTTTCCACCCCCCCCCTTATCTCCTGAAATACTTTGTGGTTTCATAGACCGTTTCACAGTGGTTGTCCATGGAGCAGAATCAATGCTATATCCACACTGGAAAGGAGGCCTGAGTCAAACATGTGACACCCTTTGGGTCAGAGAAGTAGAAGAGCTCAAACTTCTGCATTCCCCTCTATATGTGGTGTCAGTTCTCAGATGTGCTGGTTTTGTTTTGTTTTGTTTTTCTCAACATCAAGAAAAGACAATACAACCAGAACCCATTGGTCTAGCATCTAATGGTAAAGGACAAGAAGTTTGGAGCTTCCGGATTTCAAAGGACATACTTCTGCATACCACCAGATGGCCCCATGTGAAAGAATTCCAGAAGAAATGGCTGTTGAGGGAGAAACAGAGTTGTTTCTCATACACACTGGATTGGCTTAGGATCATTCTTAACACTGCAGAAACTCTTTGGTATAGATTAGAAACTAACAGTGAATTGCCTGATACTACACCAGCTATATAAGAACTCCTTGGGTCAAATCTTCCCATAATCCACTCTGTTAGTCCATTTTTCTGTCCCTGAAACAAAATACTGGAGGCTGAATAATTTACAAGGAAAAGAGGTGTGTTTATCTCACAGTTTCAGAAGTGGGAGGTTCAAACCGAATGGTTCTGTTTGGCTTCTAGTGAAGCCTCCTCTGGCTGCATCAAAACATGGAGGAGAAATAAAACGGGAACTGCTGGGTGCAGAAGGGGTCAAGCATGTGGGGTGTCCTCACTTTATAGCAATATACTCTCACAAGAACTAACACTCTGTGGACTGGCATAAATGTCTTCTGAGGGTGATGGCCCCAGTGACTTAATTACCACCCACTAAGCCCCAGCTCTTCAATATTCTACCACATTCTAACATCATCACATTGATGAACAAACTTCCAGCACAGGAATCTTTGGGGAACACAAACCAAGCCATATCTAAACCCCAGCACCTATAAACTCGAAGATTAGCCATGGTCATGGCAGGATCCCTTTAGCATTGCATCCTGACACAGCGCTAGAGTAGAGAATAATCTGATTGGCTAGTTGTCTTGGTAATTGACAAATATTTTTATATAACTTCTGCAGAAAAGGTACAAGATATTTAAAACTAGGGTGATTTCTCACAGTGGCTGGAGTCACTGAGAATTTGTCCACAAGGACAGCTCATGTCATTTGACAAGAACTGTTCCTGGCCCATAATCTTCCACCTTTTCTTGGAAATAAGACTTCTCCAGCATATACGCCCAAAGTCATATACTACATGACTAGATCCTTGCCATCAGAACCTTACACTTACTAAGGGCATCTCTTCTGTAAGGTCCCTGCAAGGCAGAGATGACATAGCGGCACCGTGGCTCTGTGAGGGTGCCAGAGCCTCACACACCATCTACTCCAGCTCCAGCTGTGCTGTGTGACATTTATGTGACAGTCTGTCTTCTCCCCAAGATGAATCACAGAAAATTAGAGATGGGAAAGACCTATTAGTTCATCTAATCCTCACCCCTGCCAGTTCACAATCCCTCCCTCTGCTCCATTTCCCCGTGCATCATCCACTTTGATTGAAATAGCATGGCATACAAAGAGTGCTGCTCCCAGCCTCATCACTGAGAATTCTCTCTAGCACACCAGATAATATATGTCTGCATTTACTCCAGCTTTCTTAATACGGTAAACTTATGGTTCACTTATTCTACTTCATTTCTTCCCACCCAAAATCCTGGATATAATTAGAAAGTGGGGACTCTCTCTTGGTTAGAGAAAAAAAAATCATTTCAGAAGAATCGAAGGACTTGATAGAGAAAAAGGAAGTGACATGCCAAGCTTCTTATGTTACCTCATTTCAACTTCTGTTATTTTAGTTTTGTGCTTACTTGACATTGCTCAGCTTTTGCCTTCTTTAACAATTGCTAAAACAATGACTAAGCACTATTATTGGCTTTTTTCCCCACATTTACTTCTACTTAAAAATTTTTAATTTTAAAATGTTTAATTGACAAAATTGTGTATATTCAAAGTGAACCACATGATAATTTGATGCATCTATGCATCATATGATGATTACCACAGTCAAATTAATTAATACATCCATCTAAACCATGCCGTAGAGCCCCAGAACTTTATTCAGTCATAACTGGAACCATGACTCAGCAGCAATATTGGTTTTGACTTTGGTTTTCACATTTACTTCCATTTCAAGTTTTAATTTGATTCTTTATCTCCTTGCTGCCTACAGTATATGTAAGTTCCCAGTTTATCAACATGATTAAAATAAAAGCGATTTAAATATTCTAAACTATTAGAATAGTTTACCTAATCCCTTTCCTAATGCTTTCTTTGTTTTTCTATTTTATCTAAACACAGGAGTACAAGCAGGTAGCCTGGCACACCCTTTCTGCATAGCCTTATTTAAAAATTCCTTTTCTCTCAATAATGTTCCTTTTCCCTCAATAATGTCTCAGTGGTAGACCTTCTTGACAATACAGTCCAAGAACGCAGAGGTGGCTCACCTTTATCTGACCCTTTAAGCAAGGCTCACTGCACACAGACCGTACCATTCCACTCTTATTCATCTGGATTTTGTAATCATCTATGTTCAGCACTCCTTCATGCCAGGTTCCAACATGTACATAGTCATAGCGATTAGCTTCAGTGTACTGCAGATTCATGATATCATACCTACAGGGGAAAGAGCCTGTGAGTCTTGTAGGATACGGATATCATGTAGAAAACAAAGAAATATATTAAATATATTTTAATTGAAGACAGATAAAAGCTAGAATCATTGCACATCCTAACTCCAGATACTGTAAACATTTTAGTTTATTTCTAATGTTTCTTCTGATTTTCCAGAATGGATCTGTGTATCATCAACAGTTGATAAGGAATGTGTTACTCTCATAAATGTCTTTCTGCTCATCCTCCAAAAAGGAATTCTATATGTATTGAGTTGATGATCTCCTTCAAATTATAATTCACTAAGTTAATCTTTGAACAAGTAACAATTCATAAGAATATTAATAACTATATTTGGTTACTTATATTCCATTCCTTTTCACATTGAATTGCCATTTTCATTACACTGGATAAAAAGAGGGTTGTTTTACCAAATTTGGAACCTTTTTTAGGTATTAATAGAACCAGAAAACACAGAAAGGTATATTTAATGCGTAAGGTTGTTAGGGATATGACCTCGCATGCATTGACATTTAAACTGATCTCTTCCCTGATCAGGACAAACATTTCTGGAACCTAATAACTGGTGTCAGTTTCTTTCTTTAGTAAGTTTCAGTGCTGAAATGCTTTGCAACGGCAAATCTACATTTAAGCTCCCGCCAGTAGTAATGATGCCACTGTATATCTTTTCTTTTCTTTTTCATTTTTTAAGAAATCTTTACTGCAGCCAAAGCAGATTCTGGGGGCAAGGCCTCATCATTTCCTGCATGGAGAGCTGGAGAATTCTTCAATGCAATGGAAAGAACAGAGAACTTAATATCAGAATGAATGAGTTGGTGCTTCTCTAACATTTTAACCATAGGTTACACTACTTGGCAATGTCACTAAAGTCTTTAAGCTTCATGGGTTTCTTGTGGGGATTTATGAACATAAGGCATGTACAAAACCACTTTATAGTTGGCACTAATGCAAAGGTTCTATGGTTCCAATGTTTGTTGAAATTCTACCTCCATAGTGATGGGGTTAAGAGATGGGGCAGAGCCCTCATTAGGGAGATTAGTGTCTTTACAAAAGCCTTGCCCGGGTCCCCAAATAAAACTCCCTTCTCCATTCCACCACATAAAGACACAGTTAGAAGCTTCACTTCACCAGACACCAAATCTCTTAGGGCCTTGATCTTGGACTTTCTGCCTCCAGATTTGGAAGCAATAATTTTCTTTTGTTTATATGCCAACCTTCTATGAAATTCTGTTATAACTGCCCAAATGGACTAAGATAATGTGCAAGGCAATATCACAGAATCATTCATATTTGCATTTCCATGGATACTCTAAAATACTTCAGTTCTTTCCATTAATATAAATAAACAAAACTGGAGAAGGCATTTGTGTTGGCATAACCATTTGTCTCTCAGTCATTAAAAATTCTCTAGTATTCCTACATCTACTTTCCATGTTGATGTTCACTCTAAGCAAACAAACTATAACTCATGTGGTCATGTGCCAACACTCTACGTCTGGCTTTCTCTTCCTAGCTCTGTAGTGGGATTCTTTTCTGTAGTACCTATGAGGAATCCTTCCCCTACTGGGCTACATAGAATACAGGTCATGGTATCTTGCTGTTGGTGCATGACCTAAGGAAATACATAATGGTTAACCAACTGATTTTCCTCTTTCTCATCTTCATTCCCCCATGCTGTTGCCTGAGTCATCCTGGAATTATTTCTCTCTATACCTGACTCAGGCGCACGGTCTTTCTCAGCATTTCACTCAGGGATTCTACTACCCTTAAGCCTAAATTGGTTTTCAAAGCCTATTTGCTGTATCTGAACCCGTTTGTTATTGACTTTTCAATTTATTGACTTTTCTGCCTGTTCTCAATGTGTGAAAGCATCCTGTCATGCACAGGGTAGCTTGTGGCTTCTCCATGTCCAGATTCAGGCGATTCCTATGAGAGCTGTCTCCTGAAAGAAAGGAGCCCAGTGTACAGGAAGTGTCCCCTTGTGCTGCGAGCAAAGCTTACCAAGAGTGAGAAGAGAGACCAGTGCACCTGGAGCTCATCCTTCAAATTTGTGCTATTTTGGCTTCAGCAAGAGTTATTATGCCTCTTGTTACTGAAGCATGCCAGAATGTTCTTCAGAATAACTGAGTGGTATTTGAGTGGATGTTAATTGTGAGCTCACACTCTTTCTGTGCTCAAAGGCACTAATCTGTACCTCTAATAACTTTCCATTTTAAGCTCACTATGGCTATAGAACCTACTGCAAATATTCTATGGAGTAGTTTTCTTTTCAATTTCATTAATTTTTTTTGGTGTTTTATTTTATATTATGCCATGACACTTTCTTTGAACTTTCAAGGAAGGCTTTGCTGCAATAGTAGCTTTAGAATAAGGTTTTTCTATAAGTCAGTTTCCTAAGACTTTTATTTCAACTTCTTTAGTTTTGCACTTTCATAGAGGAAATTAGTTCACACTTTATTTACATTGAGGGACCTCAAAATCCACAGTATTTTGGTACAAAAACACATTTTTAAAAAAGTTCCAAATGCTGGAGGGGTTCTGTGGGAAAATACTAAAAGATACCAAAAGAAAAATATTGACTTACAGAAAAGAGGCCTCCCTATGCTGTGTGTGTTAATAAAAGCTGCTCTTTGCTCTTAACCCCAGGGTTCCTTCCTGGCATGTTGGCCTTTATTTGGAATATGCTCATGCTGTAAATTGCATCTTCACAGCATCCTCTCATTGCATTCGGTTTATGTTGTGCAATGATTAACTAAAATAACTACAAGAGGGACCAGAGGCATGAGCAATGGTTTGACGGGAGCTGGAAGCAGAGGGAGGTGGTTGAAACAGGAACTGATCACAGATGAAGCTGACCAATTCCAAACAGGAGGAAATGATCCCTGAAAAGGGACCCAGGGGAAAGCTCACAATTTAAATATGTAATTACAGATGGAAGAGATACAAGCTAAAATTATGCACTACCTTTTGGATAAGTTACAAAGAGAAAAAGGAGGAGGAAATTTGTATTTATGAAATGTAAAAAAATGTATCTGGCCCTGGGCTGGGCATATGCTTTCTTCTGGAATCATAAAGGAAGATTAGCATTGCAAATTTGACCCTGTACTGAGCCTCGTTTCCAGTGGAAGGCAGGATTACAGTGGTGGGCTTAGCAAAGTAGGTGGTTCCTGTTCTGAATTTCAGACCTATTTGTTCTTCCTGGTATCACTTCCTAAGGTAATCAGCACTGTGAAGCTTTCCACATTCCCAAGCTCTGGATCATCTATCCTCAAGTTCTGATCAAAATCTGCTTCCACTTTTCTGGCAGCTTGGGGGGTATCCTACAAATTTATTTTAATTGTTGACTGTGACATGTCACTTTCCTTCCTAGAGCAGTTGTATTTTAATAGAGAAATTCCACTTAGCCCCCACAAGGAACTCTCCAAATGTAGGAATTAAAGTTTACATGTAAAGAAGAGACATCTGGAGAAGGATTTGGGTTCACAGTACTTCCACAACGACATTAAGAAAGTTTCTAGAAGTTTTGCCTAATCTTACAATTAGCTTATAAACTCCAGACTCAGACTACACTGCCTCCACCAATGGCCCTCTGTGTTACCTTAGGTGAGTTGCTTAGTTTCTCCGACACTCAACTTTATCATCTGTCAGAGAAGGATAATGATAGACCTAAGGCAGTGAGAATTCAGTGATCTGATGTTCCATCTATGCAAACCATAAACTGAAAAGTAACGGGGCCTAGAAGATTATGAACCTACTACATAGCAGCCAGGCTGAAGGCCTTTTTGCTTCTACTGCAGGTTTTACTTTTTCTCCTATTATTCTGATTATTCCTTTCCTAGGAAAATTTGTTTGAATGAACATAGCTACTCTTGATACTAACATCATTCTCTATGTACCAGTGACATATGAGAAGACTGGTGATATCAAAGTGAGTGTTGTAGAATATACTGTATGTCAAAAGAGTCTGGGGAATTATATAAGCATGTGCATGCACACACACACACACACACACAGACACACACAAATTAAAGTTTAATTTTCCTCATCTCTCATTTGATTAATTTTTGAAAACCATTAGAGACTAAATTCCAGAAAGAAAATTCTTTCCTTCCTTGTTCCAAGAAATATATTAACAATAACATAAGTTAGCCTGAGGAAAAGGAATGCATGTATAGGACTTGGATCTCTTCACATAATAAGCTCCTTAAGTAGGTGTACTATTCATAATAGCACTGTGACCAATTAACTGATCAGTTTGACGTTGGCTGGGTACAGGCAGTTCCTGGGGTGGTCTGCATGTCAGGTGTAAGTCTCTTTAGTTTCTTAGGCTTCTAGGGAGGTTCCATTCCTTCTGAGGGAAGGACCAAATAGGAGCTGGTTAGGGGGGTGGCTCTGGCAAGATGCAATGTTCTTGGGGGGTTACTAGGAGGTATTTCAAAAGGCAGTGTGAACTTTGGTAATTTCCATGTGATACTAGACCTACCTTTTCAGCTATCTTGTTGAATCTATCTTCATGACATTGAGAACCCATACACTCAAATGAAGACCTAACTACCATATAGGCAATGGGAAGAGTTAAAAAGTTATTTAGATCTGTCACAGAAAAGACTGCTTTACCTTCCGGGAGCATCTCCCTTCTCATCAAACCACACCTCCTCTCCAGACACGCCGATGAATGAGGACTTGATGAGGAAGTCCAGGAGTTTCCTGCCGTCAATGGGCTTCATGGCATCGCAGAGTCCCACGTGGCCAGGGCAGAGGGCATGGTGCATGTTCTGTAGCCCATGTGCCATGGCATAGATGGCGTTGATGACAAACCCCATCTTGCTGTCCTGGACATAGTTTTCTTCTAAGCTTTCATTGCCTGCAACAATAGAAACAGATCACTGCCGAGGTCACAATCATGAAGACCAGGTCTGTATGTGTATGTGTCAAGTGCTTCCAGGGCTTTCAGAGAAGGGAAAGAGCAATGGCAGTGGCAAAGCCAAGGCCACCTGTGCAAACTTCGTACTTTGGAGTGGCTTTGATGTATTCTACCTACAAAATGTTTCATGCAGTTTCATTTTCTGAACTCAATAATGGCTTTATGCAATATAGAACAAACTTCACAGAGGTAAAAATAAAGAAGTTTTCATGTATTATAAGCAAATCCTTAAAGAGCAAAGGAAATAACTTGAATTCGCTTTTGATTCACAGGAGCTTATATTAAAAGTCTCCTGTATCATGGTACTGTATCCTTTGTGACAGCCTGCAATTCATGGTAATTCCTGTTTGGCAGTATCTAACCCCTGATATTTCATTTGGTGATTTCACTATTTTTATAATCTCTAGGGCCACAAAGCCCCCAATTTAGAAGAACTAGGTAGTATGAATCTCTTCCATATGATTGACAGTGCAGAAATATTTAAATCATATATTGCTATTAGATACCCAAGTAAAATATCTCTTGAGAGAGGAGTTGTACTACACATTCATGTTATCATTCAGTTTTTAACATATATATAATATATGTTATATAAAAATATAAAATATACATATACATATTTAAATTTCAAAAGCACTGTGATTATCTCTACCCATGCTGCACGTGAATAAATATTTCTCAATTGCCAACCATTTCACAGGAAACCTATGGCTTCAGATCTAAACTCCATATTGGAAGTTTAAACTTTAGGACTTGCATATGGATGAGAAATTTGGAGACCATCTGGATTTGATGAAATAAAGGTAACAAGTTTTAGAAAACAAAATGGATTTGGAGCACACCATTGGCATAAAAAAGACTTTCTACTTAGTTCCAGATGTCTGCTTTTCTGCAGTGGCTACCTGAGTGTGTAGTGAAGGGTCTAAGTGTTACATTCCCAACGTCTAGTTCTGGAAAGTCAGAAGGCTCAGCTCCTTATGGGTGAAGAATGTGAGGCTCTCTCCTGTCAGATCCTCTTTGCTTCAGCCTAAACAGTTCACTGGACACTAAGATTCTTGAGCTGAAGACAATCAGAGGATTTTTAGGAAGTTGGAGACCTTGGAGTCTTTAGAATGAAAGAGAAAAAGGGTTGCCCTTGATGTTGGGCTTCAAATAAAAATAGAAATTACCAAAGAGTTCCATTTAAAGGCTGATTTATTTAGGTGTAATTGAAAAAGTGACAATATATGTGTATCTATCCTAAGAATAATATACAAAATTCTCAGATCAGGTCGAAGGGGAAAGAAATTCAATTTAAACCCTCTTTCCAACTTTGCTTGATAAGACATTGCTAAAAGTATAATTTGCTAAAGTACAATATTTTCCAAATTGAAAGAAAATTTTCCAAGAGGAAATGAGGAGTAAGAGAAAAAGGGCATTTTAACATCAATACTTACAGAATAAGCATGGAAAGTTATGTAAGACAGAAAGAAAAGATCCTCATTAAAAAAATTACAACATTATCGACTTCTGTCTGTCACCCAGAACCTGGGCCTTTACTGTTAAGTTTTCTTTCCCTCAATTTCCAATCTTAATAGGATAAAAAAAAGTAAATTAGGGCCATTTGTCTGATAAGTTTTAAATAAGCCTTTATAGGTTAGCCCAAGCCCCCATACACTGGAGCTAAACACTAAAGCTGCTAGAACCAGAGACATTACCAGGAGACAGAGACAGAGATAGGGAGGCACCCCCAAACCTTCAATGTTGCAGAAACTTAAATGATCTTAATTAATACTGAAAACACCCACCTGAATTCGGAGGTATTAAAATTAACATCAAGATCAAATTGTAGGAAAATAAACACACACCTTGTACCAAATGGAAAATTCTGTATTAGAGATAAACCTTATAGCCTCTGGATTTACTGTTTTTGTTTTAATAATCACTGTTTAAGATTTACTATATAGAGATGAGCAATCATGTTGGTGTTCCCAGTTCAAATGTCTTAATGCAGTGGCTGTCCTGTGGATTCTTCAACTATCAGCACTAAGATAATAACCTTCCTGGATCTCTGTGAGAACAGTGTTTTCTTTTTGATCCTTATTTAAGGTGATAATAAAACTTACCCAAACTGGGTCACTTTTCAAAGGGAAAGTGAGTGTTAATAATGATATTTTTTTCCAGAACATAAACAAGGTGACCAAACAAGGCAAATTTGAGAAAACCAATACAATGTCTCTTGAGCCATGTGCCCTCTAACTGTACCCACCTATTGATGTTGTAATGGGTAAGATTTCTGCACAAATACATATTTATAAATCATCAGTATAATATTTTATTACTTTTAACCAATTTTTACATTTACCTAATTTTAATGGCAAGTATCTACAATAATTTTTGAGTGTCAGTTAGCTACCTATAATAATAAGAGAGATTGAACGTTCACTATTATCCTGTCAAATAAACATTGATTTTCACCATTTTAAAGACAAGGAAAGAGTATGGTAGAACACGGGAACAAATGCCTTCTCAGTCCTTGTTCTTTCTGTTACACTCAGAGACTGCATGGTGCACAGAGCAACCTACAGAGAAGGCACTCTTCTGACTGCAAAGGAAAAGACAACAGCACATTGGCCAAGTCAATTTGGGGGCTTCTCCCTGGAACTGTTCCACGTGGATTCAGCTGCCTCTCTGACCAGAAGCGTTGGCATCCATCCCTTGATAACAAATCGTGATGCAGAAGCTCATCCTGTCAGATATTTGCAAGGTATTAGCTCATAAACTTTTCCCAAATAAACACAAACAGCTTTGTGTTTTGTGACAATCTGAAGTGAGCACACATACTTCCTTACCCTGTCAATCCACTGGCTCTGCACATGACAAGGGAGATGACCACAGTTAAGAACTGTCTCTTCAGCTCTACCCCAATCTCATCCCTGTTGGTTCCAGTCTAAAGAGAGATCATTTGGAATCATGGGACATACAATTGGAAAATCAATAGCCTTCATAGGACCATTTTCTTTGTTAAAGCAACTATCTCAGATAACGTTACAAGGACTCATGATCTGATAAACAAGATATATTACAGGGTTCCCTGCTTCCCACCAGAGCTTATGCTTTCATGACCAATGAATAGAAAATAAAAAACGAATAACATTTCCACTTGGTAGGAAGGTGAAAACACTGATTCCCTGGGGTTTAGTGCCTTTTCATGACACTAGTCTCAGAGTTATTAGTGAGGAGGGAATTTCATGATTCATTTTCTGTGATGCGTTAACTATTTCAGACCACTAGGGTGTCATTAAACCATTACCTTTTCTAATATGCTAAATGGAACCAAATAATTGAGGTCGACTGTTTATTTGCTTTCAAAAGAATACCTGTCTAAGTGCTTCACAATGGATTGTGAAAATAGCTACCTTGATTGCAAATAGTAATCTTGTTCTTATTGCAAAAGCATGACGACTTTAAATTGCTACCCGAGTGTAGCAGCACATGGAGCTCCCATAGAGGCAGGATTAGGCATTGTACCTTCTGAAAACAGGAATTTCATGGTGGTTGGGAGAAATGTATGTAAGTTCTATCCATCACCATTTAGGATGGTTATTCAGCAGAGTGTTATAGCAGAAGAAACTCTGGAGCAGGAACCTGGACTGATGAGAATCTTCCATATATAGTCTATCAACTATCTATTTTCAGCAAGCCGTGGAACATGGATAAGAGTCTCGACCTCCTCAGGTCTTAGTTTCCTAACTGAAATAGCACAAATGGATTAGACTATCTTCCTGAAAGCCTCTTTCCCTTCAAGTTCAATGTGTTATTTCTCCAATCCCACATTTACTGGTATATGCAGAGCCATTCACACACATTACCTTTTTTTTTTTAGTGCTCACAAAACCACATTATCATTTGACAAATGTGAAAATTAAAGTACAGAGAAGTCAAGTCAAGGCTTGGAGGAAGGTCTTTCTTTCTCTTCACCTCAACATTCTTCATGAAGGAACTTACTGTGGAACACCTCGTACCTCCCTCCTTACCTAACAAGGAGAGGAGTGACTTGCTTTTATTAGTGGATTAGAAAAAGAAACAAGACATGCTCAGCCCAACTGTTTCCTTCATTTGGAGCCAGGCGCTTGACTCCAAGGTTCTGGCTGGTTCTCTGTTCTATAGTCAATATGGGCTATACTAGTGGCCTAAGTTCAGCAGTACCAGTGACTAGATAGTTAGTCAACCCAATTCTGGGATAAAATATTCAAAAGTAATTTGTAGGCACATATCTTATCCATTAATCTATATTTCTATTCCATTTGATTTTTGTTGGGGTTTTTCTTTCAACTTTTAATAACTTTTTCATTGAAATAAAACTCACCTAAAGTAAAGTGCAAAAATCTTTAGTGTACTGGTCAATAAATCTCCACATTTGTACACACCTATGTAACTTCCACAAAGTTAATAAATTTATCCTAGCACTGCTTCATAGTTTTCAGAGTTCAGATTCTAAGCGTTTGATTTTTCTGGCACTACCTCAATTTTAAATTTACCAAAAAAAAAAATGTTTGTTTCTAGTGCATAGAATACTATTGATATTCATATACCAGCTTCATATCCTTAAATCATACTGAATTTACTTATTAATCTTTTAAATATTCTATGTTCATTAATACTTCTAACAAAATGATATTTAATCCCAAAATATCTGCCCCTCGATCCATTTATTTGTATCCAACTTTGGGAAGGAAATGCATTGGCTGGCCAACTAAAATCTTAGTAGTTCTAATCAAGTTCCCATGGCTATCAAGAACAGAGGCAAGCCAGGTGCAGTGGGGCATGCCTCTACTCCCAGTGGCTTGGGAGGCTGGGGCAGGAGGATCAGAAGTTCAAAACCAGCCTTAGCAATGGTGAGGCACTAAGCAACTCAGAGAGACCCTGTCTCTAAATAAAGTACAAAATAGGGCTGGGAA